GGTTAGCAGCGGCGGGAGGAGGGAGATTCGTGGGCGGCGGCGGCGGCGAGGAATCCGGCCACCACGGGCGGCGGTGCTCCAGTCAAGATCAAGCCGTGCTGCTGGTACCGTTTTCTTTGTCTCTTCGCTCTGAGTCTATTGGGACCGGAATCACTTCGATTGGACACCGGACGGCGAAGATATCATGATCGGAAGTTGTTGAGATTTTTCGGAACTTTGACCGGCGAGTGTGGCGGCATCTGGCGGAGTTGGCAGCCGCAAGACACCAATCCGGACTCGGCTCGACGAGAGCTTTCCAACGAGCCGGGAGGTGTCGAAAGCGGATGCCGGAATCTTCCCCGGATGTGTACGGCCGTACGCGTGGAAGGAGAGAGAAAGGAGAGAGAGAAAGTGGGTTTTTGTGTTTGAATTTTTCTGATGAGGTGGAACACGCCCAAGTGGCATTAATACTAGTTTGGACTCACTGAGTGTCTAATTATCCGTTTCTGATCCTCACATTTCTTAAAAATTACATTTTGGCCCAGATTTTTAAAATTTTCACACTTAAGTCTTTAAAAATTACAAATTAACCCCATTTCAAATTTGGGTTTTACACATTCATTCTTCGTAATTAAATTTAAAAATAATCCAAATAGTTTGCTTATCCTATCAAAGAAAACTCCTGATACTTTTCTTTTCTTTTTATTTTATTTTATTTTATTTTATATAATTGTGTTAAAAGGGTGTGAAGCGGATAACGTAGTTGTCTTCTGTTTCTACTTCCGTCGAGTGGTGTCGTCGTAGAATAGAAATATAGATTAGTTTTACTCACACTCTCTTCTCTCTCTCTCTCTCTCTCTCTCCTCAAATGGCTATGGCCTCCTCTTCTGTCTCTCACTGCCTCATCTCTAACCCCTCTCTTCAGGTCCTTCCCATTTTCTCTTTCATCTGTCTCTGACTCTTTCTGTATGTATGTATGTGTTTGTTATATATATATATATATATAGATCAGAACAATAATAGGATTGTTGTTGTTGTTTTTTTCTTTTTTTCGGGGGTTGGCAGTTGAAGAAGAAGGGTTTTCTTGGTCATGGATGGCCAGGCGGAAGACCCACTTACTCGTTCTCCGACGACTCAAACTCAAATTCAAAGAATTCAAAGAATTCCGGCATTCGGCCCATGAAGATCAACGCAACTGCTCAGGCTCCTCCATTTCCACTTCTTCAGCCTCCCAAAGTTGAAGATTCTCCTTCTGAGGTTACTTCTTAACCCCCTCTTCCCTTCTTTCCTTTTTTCGTTCATAATCTTCTTAAACAAAACATTTTCTTTTCTTCTTCATGTTCAACTTATTCAAAGCCACCAACGAAAGTTCTTATCCTATAAATAAAAACCAAAGGAAATGCTTGTTTTGTGGTGCTTTGTTGTTGAATTTCTGGTTGTAGACTCTGTACGCAAACTGTTTGACAAATTCCCTGCCAAAGTGGGTTTCTTTTGTCTCAACAATAAGCACATTCTGTTCGGTTTTGTTTAGTTTATTTTTCTATTTTGAAATTATTCCTCCTACAGTGGGAGCCAGCAGACCCTGATTTCTACAAGATAGGCTATGTTAGAAGCATGAGAGCTTATGGAGTTGAATTTAAGGAAGGCCCCGATGGCTTCGGAGTCTATGCTTCCAAAGATGTCGAGCCGCTTCGCCGTGCCAGGGTGAGTCAGTTTTTGCTTAGTTTTGATATTATAGGCGGCCTCACTCACCAAGCTGCATAAAAGTTGTTGATTTCGCAATTCCTATGTTTTGGTGGTTTTTAACTGCTCAGGTTATCATGGAAATCCCACTTGAATTGATGCTAACCATAAGCCAGAAGCTTCCGTGGATGTTTTTCCCGGATATCATCCCAGTGGGTCATCCCATCTTTGATATTATCAACTCAACCAATCCAGAGGTAATGGATTTTTTATTTTTCCCTTATTATCACTGATCAGTAATAAAGGCTTCATCTCAACTTACAAAGCCTTTAAAGGTTTCCATTTTCTTTAATTTAATAACTTTGGTATCTTTTTTTTTTTTAAATAAAAATAAAAAATCTTCGGTCATTAAGTTTATCAGTTTCGTTTTGCTTTCTTAAGGGCTTCTTGTCCTCTTTTTCTTTGTATTACTTCAGTATCAGTGAAGGAAGTTTCTTATTTGGAGGGAAAAAAACTGATATGAATCTGCATTCACTGATTCAGAAAGTTCTACAACGTTTCACAATTTAAATATTGATGATAAATAGTGAGCACATTTTAATAATTGTAAAATGGACTTCCTCTGACAGCCGTCTTACTGGATTTTTTGCATACTTGTTTGTGGCAGACAGATTGGGATCTAAGGTTAGCATGCCTTTTTTTGTTTGCTTTTGATCGTGAGGGTAACTTTTGGCAGTTGTATGGAGACTTTTTACCTGGTGCCGATGAGTGTACCAGTCTTCTTCTAGCTTCAGAGGTGTGTAAATAAGCTGTAATGAACCTCTGATATTTCAGTTTAGAGAAATAAATACATAAATTAACATATTCGTGTGTGTACATCACTACATTGTTAGGTGCTTAATTTTGACATGTGTTTTAGGGTTGCACTTAATGATTTCATGTTGTCATTAACAAAAGATGATGCAACCTTCTTTTAGACGAATGTAAAGCCTATAACCAGAATCTGTAATAAGAATCTCTTGCATCATTGACAGTGTTTGTTGTTGCTATTCAACGATTTTCCAAAGAGATTTTAAATAACCCCGCCACTATGTGAGCGGCCACTTAGAATTACCTCTTTTGACATAACCGTGTAAAATAATAAATTTTACTCTAATCTTCATGAACACCAATTATGTGTTTTGCCACTTAGTCTTACAATAAATCACAAGTTATGCTTGTGGTAATTTTAGAAATTTGATTTTTGGAATCCGTATTCAATTGCAGGAGGTTTGATGTATCTTTATCCATATTGCCCTTTGTTTATCACAGGAGGAGCTCTTGGAGCTGCAGGATGCCAATCTTGCATCAACTATAAGAGGACAGCAGCGTCGAGCATTAGAATTTTGGGAAAAGAATTGGGTAATAAAATGTCCTTTCTGTTATACACCGAGATTAGCAGACATTCTGCTCATTATTAGGTGTACTAAAGTTACTACATGTTATGCATGTATGTACGTGTATTAAACTTCAATCAGCACAACGGTGTACCCCTCAAAATTAAGCGGCTTGCTCGAGATCCTGAGAGATTCATTTGGGCAGTGAGTATTGCACAATCACGATGCATAAACATGCAAATGAGGATCGGGGCACTTGTTCAAGATGCAAATATGCTAATTCCTTATGCCGGTAAGCTCTTTTCCACCTAATTTTTCACAATATACAAGTCAGGACGATCAAATGTATTTTATGGAACCTGCCTTAGTGATTCTCCTTCATTAAGTGTTCCAAAAGTCTTCAACGCATACATTAGAGAAGTCATGCAACTTTCCATCTGGCATATTTTAGTGTGAATGCACCTCTGCAGAAATGTTCACTAAAATAAGTCTAATCTAGAACTCTTCTTCCTCTTTCTTTTTCGAAAATTCATCCTAGAGTTGCTTTAAATTGTAAGCAGCCTAGGTTCACTTGCCAAAAGATCTCAAGGACACTTGATAGACTTCATATGCCTTTCTTTAACCTTTCTTCTTTTTCATCAAATCCCAACCATCAAGCTACCATTTTATTTTGTAGTATAACACATGCTTCAAACAAGTGAAAATTAATTTATTTGCACCAGATAGAAAGTCAGTATTCTATAATCAAGGATTTAATGATATTGGAAGATAGAAATGCATTTAGAACCACTGCTGGGCTCATTTATGCACGTTACCCTATTCTGTGGAGTTCTATATTTGCCAGGTTCTTCCGAAAAACAATAATTGTGAAACATAAAAGTTCAAAATTTCCCATTTCCTATTATAATTTATTTGCTCGAAGAATATTTTGTTATGTGAAATTTGATTCAAGTTTCTTTCATCTGGTGTTGGTGGACTACTGGTCCTCGTACGCTCTTC